CTCACACATATGTATACATACACGTATATACCTTCTTTCTTCTTCCTGGAATGATGATGTAATGGTTGGAGTGCTCTAATAGCCATACTGGAACATGAGATAACCTCAAGACTGGAAGCCTTATACAATGGAACAACAAAATAATATATTTTGTCAAATTAAATGTGTTGATTTTAAGGTACACCATTATTTTATGTACCATGAAAAAAGAAAAAAAATGCTACCAATTAAATTAGGACACAATCCTTTCTTATCCGTTAGATTTGTCAACTGAAATCAACATGACCTTTGCATTTAGGACAAAGTCCATTCAGTGTCTTACTGAGGGCCAGGGCGTTCTGATAAATTTCTCCAAAGCCCCTTTGTTTGGGAATGTCTTAAATACTCTTTTTACAACAGGAGTAGGTGCAGGGAAGAGATTATGTCAATTAACAGGAGGGCTGTAACCTAAAAGAACAATGAATGTTCTGATGATATCTATGTGTGAGAGGACTATTAGGATTGCTAATTATTCTCCTAAAGGATTCCAGGAGGGACACAAGAAACAGACTGGTTTGTCTTTCAAGCATTCCACCCTGGTTTTCCTCTGGTCATGGGTGAGAGGTGAGGGGCTGTGAGTCTTGTGAGACAGGCAAGAATGGCCACAGGGCATCCTCACAGCCCAGCAGGAACGGGCAAGGCTGACTTGGGCCTATGTAACTTGCATAGCACTCTGCCTGTGGGACCACGTTGGGGAACCACAAAATTTCATTTTGCTGCACAGATTTGTCTTAGATTTTTTAATTTATATTTTTTAAAAGATCTTCTTTACACTTACTTAGACATATATTTTTTTCTCATTAGATGATTTTGTATATACACACAAAAAGGAAACTATGTGCTAAATAAATTGTTTACGGTACTGCTAGAACTTCTTCAGATTCAGATTTCAGTTCTTCTAAGATATCTGCACCCCCCATACCTATTGCAGCACTATTCACAATAGCCAGGCTATGAGAACAACATAAGCATCCACTGACAAATGCATAGATAAGGAATACATGGTATATACAATGGAAAAATGAAGGAAATCCTGTCATTTGCAATGTGGACAGACCTTGAGGACATTATGCTAAGTGAGCTAAGTTAGAGTAAGACAAGTTCTGTAGGATCTTACTTGTATGTGGAAATCTCACAAGCAGAACTCATAGAGACAGGGAGGAGAATGGTGCTTGCCAGGGCTAGAGGGTGGGAGAAATGAGATGTTGGCCAAAATGTACAAACTTCCACTTATAAGATGAATGAATTCTGGGGATCAAATGTACAGCATGGTGACTATAGTTAACAGTACTGTATTAGATAGTTGAAAGGTGCTAAGAGAGTGAATCTTAAGTGTTTTCTACACACACACACACACACACACACACAGTAACTATGTGAGCTGATGCATGTGTTCACTAACCTTATTGTAGTTAACAAACCACAATATATGTTTGTGACTCACTAACCAATCATTTCACAATGTATGCATGTGTCGGGTCATCCCACTGCACACCTTAAACTTACACAATGTTGTATGTCAATTATGTCTTATTAAAGCTAGAATAAATAAATGATTAATAAAGCATATTTTAACTCTTGTAAATGGCTTTTAACTCAAATCATTGGTATCGCTGAATATCATCCTCAGTGCCATCTCCGTTGTTGGTGACACAGCATTTCTTAAGAGTACACTTGTAATGTCCTCCGTTTTGTTCCGAGCCAATGAGGCCACTCAAGTGAGTTGGATGAGCCTACTCAGGCTGTGACAGCTACAGACAACAGAGATGGCAAGATTCATAACCAATTTCAAAGACATTACAATGTGACAAAATGCTCTTCTTGGAATCAGTGAAATGAGATGAAAGTTGCTTCCACAGCAGTCTGGATTTGTCCTCCTCCATACTGGTTTTTCATCTGGAAGAGAATACCTATCTTGTTAAAGCCACTGCTTTCCTGAGGTTTCTTTTTACAGCCAAACCCAACCCAAACTTATCCACAGTTCTTAACAATGTTAGCCTTATTACTTTGCTTTCTCACTGTAACTTCCTCCACTCTCACAGCCTCCTTAACTAATGAAATCTAGGCATACATTTCTCTTCTCCACCTTTGAGATGTCCTAACGCCTTGCTAATTACCCTCATTCCACCCTTACCTTCAACTTATCTGAAGCAAGTTCTCTATTAAAATCCTGCTGAATCTGATTTTAAAATCTGAAGCATAGTATCACTTCCAAGATTAGCAATAATGCCTTCCTATGCTGAATACTTGATTAGCTATGCCTCTTGGGCTGGTGAAAAGAAACTGGAAGAACTAGCAAATGAAAAAATAATAAAAGGAGAATTTAACAATCAGAAATGTAGAACAAAATTCAAGAGTAGACAAGAATCAGGAGAAATTAATGGGTGCTATGCAACACTTGTCACACATTTCTGAGGAAAAAAATACTTTTCCTTTTTCCGGAAAATGAAGTACAATTCAGCGACAACTGTCTATTAAGATATAAGAAATAAATTACCCCAGAGGTAAATTATTGAGCACAATACATTTGAATCTGTGTTTGAGTCTGACATGAAGTTATCAATTTCATCATTTTCCCTTAGTCTGTCCTCACCCATCACTCTGGCGAGCTTAGCAACAGCCAGTATTTCTGATGTCAATTCCACCAAGTAACAGGGTGTGGCCAGGAGCTCACAGGCACCCAGCTGTGTGCCTCAGGGTGCTGTTTCCCAGGGGTGGAAGACCAAGTCACGACTCACTCCCATGTATTATTGAAACTCAAGGAGTTGAGAAGGCTGTGAGTATTCAGGAAGGTGGCACACGCAGAGAAGCTTTGCTCACCCTTTCTGAGCGCTGTGTGACAGGGGAGGGGGTAGAAATGAGGAGGCTTACAGCCATGGACAGAGACCTGGGAAAGTGCAAACGCACCAACTCCATTGGCGTGAATGTTTCTTACTTCTTGCTGCTGACTACCAGGAGGGGCTTTTAATAGGAGCTGGAGGGTAATCACAATTCTCGGTGAGCCTTGCAGGTGAGGAAGCCCTTTTCCAGGTGAAATAAGAGGCTATAGATCTAAGTAGACTTGTCATTACTCCGGGGAGTCCCTCTGAATCACAAAAAAAGGAAAGATAGGATAAAGATGGGCCCAGCAGCCAAGGCAGAACCACTCAGGGGTCAGTTTTAGGGGTCAGCGAAGAGATCACCACAGGCAATGCTTTGCTGTAGAGATACAGCCCCCTGGACTTGACAAGAACCTTGGGATTCTCCATGTCCCTGAGCTGGATTTGCCAGCAGTCCGTGTGTGCCTTGCAGCCACCCCCTGTAGCTATTGCATCGGAAGAGAAGGCACTCACAGCGGAGCTCTCTGGGTGCATGGCACACCATGTGGGGATTCCTAGTCCAGGTCGCCCCAGTGTTCTGGCCCAACTCAGGGAGCAGCGTGGCTACCCGTGCGGAGAGAGGGCCTGAACAGAGGGACTCGGGCGATCAGGTGTTGACTGCCCTCCTGGGAGGTGCCCTGCTACCTCCTACCCATTCTGTGGCTAATTCTGAAGACTTCTTTCCAAGGAGGAGGATTTGGGCTGAGGTTTAGGAACCATTCCCACCCTAGGCTGGAAGGCACACGTGTAATGAAGGGAGACACTACAGAGCTCTGGCTGGTCTTTAAGAGTGTTGGGGATTTCCCTCCCTTCAGGGCCTGGTTATCGGGCTGGATTCCCAGTCTACCCACACAAACTTGCGGAACCCATGCGTTTGCCTGCGGGGTAATAGAAAAAATGCAACATGGCATCGGAAGATCTTTGTTCATGTCCGCATCCATAACTTCTTACCTGTGTGGCCTCCCTTTTTCTCACTGGAGAAGACGTGGTCTTAACACCTGCCCTTACTTCCTGAGGGTCTTACAAGAAAGAAAATACAGGAATGTAGATAAAAGGCCGTGGACTTGCAAAGTGCCATTGGTACTTTTTTAGTTTGGCAACCCCTTGCCTATGGAAAAGCCAGCCTAAGGCTCATTTCCCATTATTACCACAGCCCAGGGTGACCCTTTGAGGAAGTACTCTGCCATTCCCATTTCCACAGCCACCCACCTTGCTATGAAAAATCCACAAACGTTAGCATTTGCATAATTTGATGAACTAAAACATTTCACATCAAGCTGAAGATGCCCCTTTTCTTTTGTTTCCTTTACTGAAGTAGAGTGGATATACACTATATTGGCTTCACATGCACAACATAGTGATTGGACAGTTACCTACATTATTAAATGCCCACCCCAGTAAGTGTTACTACTGTCAAAATACAAAGATATTGAATATTATTGACTATATTTTGGATGTTGTACTTTCATGAGACTAACTTATACCATAATTGGGATTTAGGACCTCTTTATCCCCTCAACCTATTTTAACCACTCCCCCCTCCCCAGTAGCAGCCACCAGTCTTTTCTCTATGAAAGACCCCCTTTATTTTAATCCCTACCTAATCCCGTCCTCTTTCCTTCTATCTTAGGGCAACTATGCTGATGAATTCTAGGCTATGTCCTTTTTTGTCTTTACCATGGACATATGCCGGCCTTCTCCAGGGCTCCAGATCACCCACCTCACCCCACCCCCTCACAACCCAGACCACCAACCTCACCCCAACCCCATCCGACCCCCACTCGTTTATAAGGGGAAGATGGATTTTGTGTTCTCCTGGTCCCGTGGACACCATCTCACTCCGTCCGTGGAGATTCACAGCTCTCCTTGCATGGAGCGTGGGTGGATGGAGACACCTGGAGACCTGTTTTAAAACTTAAAAGGAGAGGCTTTGGCACACAGAATCAACCAGAGACCTTTATTAATTTAACAAAAACGAAATACTTTCATTGGAAGAAATGGCAAAACTGAAGTGAACGCTGTGTAAGGGCAGTCTTTCAATAAGACTGCTGGGCATGGCGGCCAGGGGAAACTGCCCCTGGCTATGGGGTAGGCCGTCCGAGCTCAGTTCTTGTCGCTGTTGCCCAGGGTGAGCTTGTCAAAGAGGTACTCAGCCAGGCCGGCCTCCGGGGCTCCCGTCTTGCGCAGGATGCTGATATGGTCCCCCAGCTCTTTGATGGACCTGACTTGCTGGTGCAGATAGTGACGCTCCAGGAAATCACACAGGTGCGCGTCGCCCTTGTCGGTGGCCAGGCGGTGCAGATCTAGCAGGCTCTGGTTGACCCTCTTTTCCAGGCCCAAGGCGTACTCCATGGCCGTCACGCCGTTCCCCCAGTCGTCGCGGCCAGGATTCCTTATGTCCCGGAGGCTCAGGCGGCCGTCGCGCTCGTTTTGCAGGTGCATCAGCTTCTCAGCGCGCTCGCCCTTCCCACGGGACTGGCGCAGGAAGAACTGGCCAAAGTGCTTCAAGGCCACATCATTTCGGTTGAAGTAGAAGGCCATGGACAGGTACGTGTAGGAGGCGGTGAGCTCCATGTTGATTTGTTTGTTGACAGCAGCCTGGCAGTCAAGAGAGTAGTTCTGCACCACTAGGGATGGCTGATCACCATTCATGGCAGGCAGTGTGGTGGTGAAGGCGCAGGTGGCCTCAGCGTGTTCCCACGGAGAACAATGAGAGAGGCTAGAGGCAGGCGGGCTCTGAACCAAGCAGCAGCTCTGGGATGGGACAGGAAATGCGGTCCCTTTTCAGTACCTGTTAGTGGGAGGAACCACTAGGGGCGGAGTCATGTGGTCACGTGGCAGTGTCGCGAGAGGACGGGGTCTTGTGGGGGTGAGGTGGAGTCACGTCGGGGCAGAGACATGTTGGGCCGGGATAGGGCGGAGTCACGGGCGATCGGCGGATTGACGTGAGGGGACGCAGTGTGGCGGGGTCAGGAGGGGAGGTGGGGCTAGGCATGGACACGTAGCGGGACAGAGCGGCAAGGGCTCTGCCTTCTAGGTCCTATCCCGTTCAGCCTTGGTGGGGCAGGAAACCCAGGGCAACTGTGCACTGAGTGTCTTGAAATCACCTTTTTAAATCACAGCTTTATTGAGATATAATTTATATCCCATAAACTTCGCCTTTTGAAAGCAAACTTTTACATGGTTCTTAGTATATTGGTGGAGTTGAGCAATTGTCATGACAATTTAATTTTGGAACATTTTCATCACTCCCAAGTTTAACACCCCATCCATTAGTAGTCAATCCCATCCCCTCTGCCCCCAGGCCTTACTATCACCAATTCATTTTCTGGCTCTATAGATTTGCCTCTTTTGGACATGTCAAAAAAATGGGATCATACACACAAATTTTACTGAGCATAATTTTTTAAATCTTTATTTTATTGCTGAATAGTGTTCCATGATGTGAATATACCACCTTTTATTTATCCTTTCTTCACTGGGTGGGTATTTCGGTTGTTTCCACTTTGTGGCTGTTATGAATAATTTTACCATGAACACATGAGTACAGACATTTGTGTGCACATAGGCTTTCAATTCTCTTGGGAATATACGTAGGCTTGGGACTGCTGGGTCGTATAACTGTTTAATATTTTGAGGGACTGCCAGAATGTTTTCCAAAGGGGCTGCACCATTTTACATTGCCACCAGCAATGTGTGAAGATTCTAGTTGTCTTTTGAAAAATGTTTTTAGTCATCTTCGTGAACCTGAAGTATTATCACGTTGTGGCTTTGATTTGCATTTCCCTAATGACTAATAACATTGAGTAGCTTTGGAGGTACTTACTGGCCACTTGTATATCTTCTTTGCAGTAATGTCTACTCCAATCCTTTACCCCTTTCTAAGTAGAATGCTTTGTCTTTTTATAGTTAAGTTGTAAGGGTTCTTATGTTCTGGATACAAGTTCCTTATCAGGTATATGATTGGCAAATATTTTGTCCCATTCTGTGGGTTGTCTTTGCACTTCCTTAGTGGTGTCCTTTGAAGCACAAAACTTCTGATGAATATGATTAAGGTCAATTCATCTTTTTTTTGTCACTTAAGCTTTGGTGTCATATCCAAGAAACCACTTGCCTAATCAAGACTGATTTGGCTATTCTGGACCCATTGTGTTTCCCTATGAATTTTGGGATAAGCTTGCCAATTTCTTCCAAAGACGCCAGCTGCGATATTGATAAGGATCATAATTAAATCTATACATTATTTGGGGGTGTATTACTATCTTAACAATATTAAGTCTTCCAACCCATAAATGTGGGATGTCTTTCAATTTGTTTAGCTCTGAGATCTTTTAAAAAGTACATTCTGATTTAGACTGGGGCTGAAATTCCGAATTTCTAAACAGGCTCTCAGGTGACGCCAGACCATTTTCTGAGTAACAACACTCTAAAAGGGAAGAGGCTTCCATCCTTTGTTGTCTTAGTCTACTTGGGCTGATTTCAATATGTGAATTCGGCGGGGGCAGAAACATTCAGTCTGTAGCACTTACTGACGTTTAGAGTTCAGGAGGAAGCACACTTTGGCCTCCACAAGTAGAAATGCCTGTTCTTATCTCAGGGACAGTGCTTCTGATAGTCGTACTACATGTGGGTTCCTATGGGAATGTGTAGAGGCCTTCCTCCTATCAGGAAAAATTGTGAAAGACTTAAAATTGGCAAAGACATTGTTTACTGGATGTCCTTTTCAGAGCGCCCTTGTGGTTGTCTCCGCCTTTCATTGACTTTGAGCTATTTTATACCGTAAATTGTGAAAAAGTAACAATAATGCAAATGGTTCTTGTCCACAGGAATGCAAATGAATTGTGTCTGGTGGAATGCAACTGATTTTGAACCCATTTTGCATCTATTTGTGATTCATCTCAACATTCCTTCTGCCTGCCTGTATATGTATGGTTCTTGGGATTCTCCTCTAAAACATTTGTAAGGTCTTCCTCGTTTCCTCAAGAATTAATGAGTTAAATAAAATCTTCGTGTGTGCATATTTTATGTTTACATGAGAGTCATGATTTTTCTTTCTTTTTAGGTAATTTAGCACTCCTCATTATCCTCACCCCACTAGGAGCATAATCAAACGCACAGGAATTGGATTAGCACATGAAGCAGTTTGATGGGTTGCTCACCAGAGATGTGGTTCCAGAAAGTACTTGGCATCTAAAGGCATAGAGTGCCTGACTGGGGGGTGGACTGGAAGGAGAGCATCTCTGAGGAGAAGGTGGGAGTGGGCTGTCTGGGGAAGCAGGGAGCCAGTGCAAAGCAGCTGAGGAAGGTGGGGAAGTTACTTTGATTTTCTAAAAAAGGTCTGAGAGCTCCTCACGGTTTTGTGGTTCCAGGGAATCCAGCCAGCTTTGTGGCTCACCGCGCTTAACAAGCTGATTGTTTGTGGAAACAGATGGAATACTTTCAGGCAGGTATCTACAGCACTGTAATAAAGAGTGTTACAGGCCTTCCGGGGTAAGCTGACGCACCTGTTGGTGTCCATCCCTACGTACATGAAGAGCTTGATTTGGCCCTAGCAGGTAATTGGTGGCAGATCTGTGTGCATGTGATAAATGGAATTTTGCTTCTTCTAACAGGCCCTGAGAAGAGCAGAGTAGGCATTTAATCTGAATCTTGAACAGCCTGTTTACTCTCTTACTTTTGATTAATGAGCAACCACCCTAGCCTGGCACAATCCCCAATTATTTTGTGGGCTTGCTCACTTTTTTCCATCTGGTCGTGCCTATCCCATACAGGAATATCTGTCAATTCACTTAATATGATTACTTAATATAATGTTTATTTTCCCAAATGTCATGGCTCATGAAGAAAAACTGAAGTGATTCAGAGCTGGGGCCTCCAGGTGATGGGAAGCTCAGGCCTGGTGCTGGAGTCTGTCTATGCCCGCCTCTCCTGTCCAGCACTGGAGGGTTTTATCAGTGAGAACGGGCTACAGAGTGCTACAGTCACAAATCCCCCCACACACCAAATCTCCATGTATAACACAGTGAGAGCTTCATTCTTGCTCAGGGCCATTTTCCCTTAGTCTGTCCTCACCCATCACTCTGGCAAGCTTAGCAACAGCCAGTATTTCTGACGTCAATTCCCCAAGTAGCAGGGTGTGGCCAGAAACTCACAGGCACCCAGCTCTGTGTCTCAGGGTGCTGTTTTCCAAGGGTGGAAGACCAAGTCACGACTCACTCCCATGTATTATTGAAACTCAAGGAGTTGAGAAGGCTGTGAGTATTCTGGAAGGTGGCACACGCAGAGAAGCTTTGCTCACCCTTTCTGAGTGCTTTGTGACAGGGGAGGGGGAAAAAATGAGGAGGCTTACAGCGATGGACAGAGACATGGGAAAGTGCAAACGCACAAACTCCATTGGCGTGAATGTTTCTTACTGTTGGCCGCTGTTGCTACACATATTCAAAAGGTTGTTTGTGGACCCCAAAGGTGAACTAAAAGAAAGCGGTTTAGAACAGTCACTTTTGTCTTACGGAAGAACAAGAAGTTGAGAAACCATTGAGCTGTGCTGTATCTAGTCTTCCCTGCCAGGGTTTCTCTACGAAAAGCTGTGAAATGTGACACTACCAGGAGGGGCTTGTAGTAGGAGCTGGAGGGTAATCACAATTCTCTTTGGGCCTTGCAGGTGAGGAAACCCTTTTGCAGGTGAAATAAGAGGCTGTAGATCTAAGTAGACTTGTCGTCATTATTCCAGGGAGTCCCTCTGCATCACAAAAAAAGGAAAGATGGGATAAAGATGGGCCCAGGACAAGGAAAACAAAAGCAAAAACGAACAAGTGGGACTATATCAAGCTGAAAAGCTTCTGTACAGCAAAGGACAACATGAATAGAACAAAAAGAAACCCTACAGTATGGGAGAATATATTTGTAAATGACAGATTGATAAAGATTGACATCCAAAATATATAAAGAGCTCATGCACCTTAACAAACAAAAAGCAAATAATCCAATTAAAAAATGGGTAGAGGAACTGAATAGACCGTTCCCAAAAAAGAAATTCAAATGGCCAACAGACACATGAAAAGATGCTCCACATCGCTAGTTATCAGAGAAATACAAATTAAAACCACAATGAGATATCGCCTCACACCAGTACGGATGGCTACTATCCAAAAGACAAACAACAACAAATGTCAGGGAGGTTGGAGAAAGGGGAACCCTCCTACACTGCTGGTGGCAATGTAAATTAGCTCAACCATCATGGAAAGCAGTATGGAGGTTCCTCAAAATGCTCAAAATAGACTTACCATTTGACCCAGGAATTCCACTTCTAAGAATTTACCCTAAGAATGCAGCATTCCAGTTTGAAAAAGACAGATGCACCCCTATGTTTATTGCAGCACTATTTACAATAGCCAAGAAATGGAAGCAACCTAAGTGTCCATCAGTAGATGAATGGATAAAGAAGATGTGGTGCATATACACAATGGAATATTATACAGCCATAGGAAGAAAATTAATCCTACAATTTACAATAACATGGATGGAGCTAGAGGGTATTGTGCTCAGTGAAGTAAGCCAAGCAGAGAAAGACAAATACCAAATGATTTCACTCATCTGTGGAGTATAAGAACAAAGGAAAAACTGAAGGAACAAAACAGCAGCAGAATCACGGAACCCAAGAATGGACTAACAGTTACCAAACGGAAAGTGACTGGGGAGAATGGGAGGGTGGGGAAGAAGAAAGGGGGTATTATGATTAGCATGTATAATGTGGGGGG